GTAGCTCTCACACTCCCCTCCGTTCTGGCAAGGGCCTGACTCACAGGCGTCCACTTCTGGAGGTGGGAGAAGGATGGTGGTGAGCAGGGGGCCCCCAGCATGCCAGCAGCCAGGCAACAGCCTCCCGAGGGAGAGCAGGATGGACGTGCAGCTGGGGGCTCAGCCCAGCCATTTTGGACCCAGAATCCCACCCAAGTGCCAAGGTGGCCATGTCCCCTGGCAGGGGATGGACACCTTCAAAAGGGGATCCACTACCAGTGGACATCTTGTCCCTTGCTCCTTCCCCACCGGAGCAGTTTCAGCTCTGCCCCTGGAACCAGAAGCAAGGAGGCACAACAGGCAGTGAGCACCTAGCGTAACGGCTTGGGGACAAGGTGCCCAAGATGGCAACCGGTCCTGGTCCTGACTGTCCCATTGCCCACAGCCCAGCCTCCCACTGCACCAGGAAGTGTGAATCCCTACCTGTCTCACACTGTGTCCCCACAAAGCCCTCGGGACAGTAGCAAGTGAAGGACGCGGGGAGGTCCTGGCAGGTCCCGCCATTCTTGCAGGGCTCCGACTGGCATTCGTTGATATCTGGGGAGTGACAATAAGAAAGGCACCAGCTCAGCACAAAGACAGGGCCAGCAGCTGGGGACTGGAGGACTTGAAGAGGCAGTGCTTCTCCTGTAGGGTGCAGACCTTCCCCACATCACTTGCAACCCTAAGCCCACCGACCAGGAACAGCCCTGCTCCCGGAGCCATGAGGAGCCCACTGTCCCATGCCTGCCCCTATATGGGGACTGCAGTGGGAGCTGAGCGTGGAGACATGCCCTCAGGGACACCTGGTAACAGCTGTCAGCCTAGGGCTGTGCCAAAAGGTCCCATATGGTGCCTGTGGCATGTCTCCTCCTGTAATCCCCAGCAGGCATCCCACCTTCTCCCACCACCGTCCTCTCCTAGGCCCTGGTGAGCCAGGCTAGAGCTGCCTGCCACAGAGTCCCACTGGACCCCACGCTGCCCATCACCCCCTTCAACCAGCACCCACATGAAACCACGACCATGGGCATACACAGGAACACAGCATGACCAAGACCGTGTGACCTCAGGCTACTTCATTCCCCCCCACCCCAGCCAATAGCTTTGAAGCCACATGGGGCACTTCCCACCCAAATCTCAAGATCTCTGCATGGACTTAACATGCAACAGGGTACGTCAGTGCCCTGTCAGTGATGGGGATGCCCACACAGCATCCATTAGTGTGGGAGACATAAGTAGCACATGTACCACACAGCCCTGCCTGCTCCTCTGCCTGACCGGGAGCAGCATGCAGCAGTCCTGGAGTGTACCTGGCATGGTCTCTTACCTGACTCGCAGTGCTGGCCAGTGTAACCCAGCTCACACAGGCATAGGAACTCGGCAATGCGGTCCTTGCACTGGCCACCATTCAGACAGGGCTGGGACTGGCACTCATTGATCTCTGCAGGTATTTGT